GGCCGCACATAAACATGCAAATAACAATCTCTTGCATAATCCAGAGGTAACATTTATTTCATCCGTCTGTCAAAGTAGAACCGTAGTTCTGCGCGAACAGACAGAGACAAAATAATACAAGTCCCATTAGCGTGGTTCTGCCCGGAAGGACGGGGTTTATATTATCACATATAATGTTAATATAATCCCCGTCCTTCCGGGCAGAACCACGCTAATGGGACTTGTATTATTTTAGTACTGTCTGTCGAAGCAGAACCGCGGATGTGATAGAAATATTTCCTCGGTTCTGCGCGGACAGACAGACAGACAGTACAGGACTTATAAACTGAAGACAATGTTTTCTGTGTTCTGCAGCATTGACGTCCGTGAAAGCAACTTAGTGGTGGAAGCCTTAATTGCGCGATACTTTTTCAATTTTGACGACCAGTTGAGAAACTTAAGATATTATCTTCACAAAATTTTCAACGGCGCTATTTTCTTCGATATAAAGAACCTCACGCCCGAATTAATGAAAGTTTTTGAAAAACGATTTGTTTCATACTGCAGCCATTTGGCAAACTTGGGCATACCCTTTGAACCTAAAATTATTCCAACAATTCAGATTTCTACTATTCCACCTAGGGATATAACACATCGGTTCGACGTTTGTCCTCAAAACGGATGCCGTGAATTTTACCGGCGCTGTTTTCGTCGCCGCAAGCAATAACTCATTCATTAAATTTATTAATGTAATTTTAATTATATATATATAATAATAAAATTTATGTAATTAAAGTAATTAAAGTCCCATTAGCGTGGTTCTACCAGGAAGGATAGGGATTATATTAACACCATATGTGTTAATATAATCCCCGTCCTTCCGGGCAGAACCACGCTCATGGGACTTGTATTATTTTAGTACTGTCTGTCGAAGCAGAACCGAGGAAATATTTCTATCACATCCGCGGTTCTGCTTCGACAGACAGTACTAAAATAATACAAGTCCCATGAGCGTGGTTCTGCCGGGAAGAATTCGCTGCTTTACCGAACAGTGATAAATGACTATCTACTTTACCATGGCAACCTTACTGTTACAGTTACGTGTCATCTGATCTGCTCTTCTAAGTACAAATTTATTTCTGTTTTTTGGGATAATCGATGACAATTATTTTCGCCAATTTCTTCACAATCTTTCGCAATAACAATCGGTAAGCTTTTTTATTTTATTTACATTTTATAACCTCATCAGAATTGTGCTTCTGCTAAGAACGATAGATTATATCTGCTCGCGCATTGACATAACCCATCTTTCTTAACAGAATTTTGAATTGAATTAAATTAAATTATTAATAAAGTTAAATTGACAGTTTTGTTGTTCCGGGCAGAACCGAGGAAATATTTCTATCACATCCGCGGTTCTGCTTCGACAGACAGTACTAAAATAATACAAGTCCCATGAGCGTGGTTCTGCCAGGAAGGACGGGGATTATATTAACACCATATGTGATAATATAATCCCCGTCCTTCCTGGCAGAACCACGCTCATGGGACTTGTATTATTTTAGTACTGTCTGTCGAAGCAGAACCGAGGAAATATTTCTATCACATCCGCGGTTCTGCTTCGACAGACAGTACTAAAATAATACAAGTCCCATGAGCGTGGTTCTGCCGGGAAGAATTCGCTGCTTTACCGAACAGTGATAAATGACTATCTACTTTACCATGGCAACCTTACTGTTACAGTTACGTGTCATCTGATCTGCTCTTCTAAGTACAAATTTATTTCTGTTTTTTGGGATAATCGATGACAATTATTTTCGCCAATTTCTTCACAATCTTTCGCAATAACAATCGGTAAGCTTTTTTATTTTATTTACATTTTATAACCTCATCAGAATTGTGCTTCTGCTAAGAACGATAGATTATATCTGCTCGCGCATTGACATAACCCATCTTTCTTAACAGAATTTTAAAATTGAATTAAATTAAATTATTAATAAAGTTAAATTGACAGTTTTGTTGTTCCGGGCAGAACCGCGGAAATATTTCTATCACATCCGCGGTTCTGCTTCGACAGACAGTGCTAAAATAATACAAGTCCCATGAGCGTGGTTATATAAATTTTATTTTTTAATTGTTTATATCTTGTAAGAAGGATAATTTCACCATACATAACTTCAAAACTGAAATATTCTTTAAATTGTTTTTACAACAAATAATTAATGAATTTTAATTATATCTTTCTTGCTGTAAAAGCAATGTCGAGAAGTTTTTAGTTTTGAGGTTACAGGCTTAAGTACAGCTGCTTCGCGAACAAGACGCAAAAGATAGAAAAGGACACAAACATACATATATCCTTCTCTAACTCATGCTTTGCGTTCGCGAACAAGTTTTGTTTTTTTCATTTAACTCGCACAGAAGAAAAACAGTTATTTTAATACCAAATGTAATGTTAAAACAATTTTCAAGATTTCTAACCAAACAGTTGATTTGGCTGAAAAAACCAATTACTTGTCTATTATCAAATAAATATTTACTTAAATACAATAATTAAGTCCTAAGCCGATTAATTGACTCTTATCAATTAAATATTTACTTGCATCAAATAATATTTGTTAGAGTCAATTTAATGGTATTTGAACCAATAATTTCAGTATTTGAAGAAAATACCATTTAATTACAAATAAGTGTTATTTCTAATGATAAATTTGAAAACTGGCGGAAATGATTCTCTAAAATTAAAACTGTGAAACTTGACTGAGGGTGTTTACGAGATGTACGACCTAGGGCGCCCCGGAGGCGCAAGGGGTTCTCATTCAAATTGGTAAAGTTGATTTTTTAACATTGTTCCTGATTCGTTGAAAGTTGTAGAGTCAGACAATGTATGTGATACAGGCTGTAGTTTTAAACGAAAGTAACTAAAAAGGTTGCGTTCAAGACTTTTGCTTCCTGGCAAAATTTTAAAGTTCGCCATCTTAAATGCAGACACAGCTTTGATGAAATACAAAGCTTCCAAGATTTAATTATACAGCTGTAGGTGCTGTTCTCTCCTTTGAATATTTCGCAAACAAAGAAGCTTCACTTACAATGCTCTCAAAAATGTGGTTCATATAACAATTCATGATGTTCATGGCCTTGCTTGACATCCCGACAACATTGTGAACTTGCTTCAGAACCTTGTAAATGTAGTTGCCATAGCTTCCTTTTCCATAGCTCCTCTTCTCTTTCTTGCCATCATTGTCGATTATATTTTTAACAGAATTTTCAGGATTCTTCTTTCTCACATTGGAAGACTTCTTTACACCAGCTTGGACTGCTTTTGACGTCATTATGGAAAATCAAAATTCTACGTACAAATAATGTTCTTCTCGATCCACAAAACGTTTATGAAACAAGTATCGCGGAACCGCTAGTTTTATTACCGAGTAGCTGTCGCGGTTCTCCCACCTTTTGCTACTCTGCATTCTGATTGGTTCCTCGTTCATCTGCCCTTTCCATGCCAACACCATGATATAAATACGTGCGTTTTTTTTATTTCTCAGCATTTTGGCAAATATTTTCTTTCAAGAACATATATTTGGTCCTGTATTTTATTTCTATCCAGTTTTTAGACCTTCATACAATTACATATAATGAAATTGCTTATTAAATTATTTGAAAAAAAATTACTAATCATTCTATTGTATTGTATTTTCGTAACACTGAGCAACATAAACTTCAAATGTATCTTATTGCTCTAATTAATAATCCTGAAATCTACTTCTTTAATTACAAACATTATTGTCGAGTTTTCTTTTTAAAAATAGCTATCATATATAACAAATTTATATTTTAAAATAAAAAGAAATTAATGAAGGATTAATTAATAAGAGATTTCAGCGACAATGCGCCACGCTGTCATACGTTCACACCAAACTCAGGTACAAGGTCGCATTTTGGTGAAAGGCCCCTTTCTCTCACTGTAGCGAATTCATCACTCCCCATTAAAAGTCTTTATAAAAACAATACTATTTAATACTGCAATCAACAATCTTTTCTATTTATTAAAAAAGATTATGTTTATTAGTTTAATAAACTATTTTTAATTAATATAAATATAATTATACCTAATATAATTATACCTAATATAATTATTAGCAAGCGCTTAAAGAGGTTCAGAAAAAACGGGCAAATAATTTTTCAAATAAAGTTTAAGACAGAAAAGTAATTATAATAAATTAATTACACAGAAGCAAAAGTAATGAAATAGGAATTTAATTTTCGTCTTCAAGTTTTGTTCAGATTTTATAAATACAAAAGCAAAGATGATAAATACTGAAAAAGTAAATTTTGTATTTATTTTTCAAAAGGCTTCAGGAGGGTGCAAAAAAATCCGAAGATTTTCTAAAAAAAATTCGACGTTTGATGAACTTAGCTACAAAAAGTAGGAAAATTCAAAATTTTTAAACACAGGAAATTTTTTTCTCCATCAACGAAACCTTTTCAAGTTTCGTTTCAAGGATAAAAAGATTTTCCAAAAGTTTTCAGGAGGGAGCAAAGAAATCCAAAGATTTTCTGGAAAAATTTTCACGCTTAATGAACTTAGCTAAAAAAAGTACGAAAATTAAAAAATGTAAACACAAGAAATTTTTTTCTCCATCAACCAAAAATTTTCTAGTTTCGTTTCAAGGATAAAAAGATTTTCCAATAGTTTTCAGGAGGGTGGCAAAGAAATCCGAAGATTTTCTAAAAAAATTTTGACGTTCGATGAACTTAGCTAAAAAAAGTACGAAAATTTTAAAATTTAAACACAGGAAAATTTTTTTTTCTATCAACTAAATTTTTTCTAGCTTCGTTTCAAGGATAAAAAGATTTTTCAAAAGTTTTTAGGTGGGAGCAAAGAAATCCAAAGATTTTCTCAAAAAAATTAGACGTTCAATGAACTTAGCTAAAAAAAAGTAGGAAAATTCAAAATTTTTAAACATTTTCACTTCTGTAAATAAGAAAGAAAAATTTTAAAAATAAATAAAGATATACATTACCGAAACTCCATCTTTATCCTCAGCATTTTTCAATATTCTCTTCCTTGTCCTTTCAAAATTTTCAAATTGGAAAATTCTTGCATAATCTTTAGGCAAGTTTTCTTTTACATCCCAAGGTGTTGTTCTAAAAGATTCAAGGCCACGATACTTTTGAAATCGAACTTTAGCAAGCGAATTTTGTGGTGTATCCATTTCGTCAGGAAAGTCTTTATCTGCTTTTGCCTCTATGAATTAAAATATAATTTTTTACTATTCAAAAAAAAGTTTTACCGCTTATAATTAAAAAAACTTTACTCAAAGACAAAATTAGAAACAAACAAAGCTTTCTACAGAACCACATGAATAAACGGGTGTTGTATCCAAAAAGGAAAACATCACAAAAGAATGTTTGTGTCAAGACTTACAAAAAAATATAAACTCTAGAAGTAAACGACTCTAGGTTACTAAGTTAACGGTTAATAATTTCATTGACAACAAACATGTAGTAACTTTAAAAAATGCTTTTAATTTTTAAAATTGTTTCTCATTCTGAAATAAGGGTTTCTCCTATCTTTTTAAATTATGAGAGTAAGGGTAGTATAAAACAGGTGTGGGAAACATGTAAATGACTAAATTTCCTTTAGAAAGAGGCAATGAAGCCGGACATTACACAGCAAAATTGGATATCTTGATCATTGTTAAACTGCACAATGTATTAAATAATGAAACAACTAATTCAATAAATGTAGAATAAATAATTACCTTTAATTTTCTGAAGTTCTTTCTTTTCTTCTAAAAAGTCTATTTCTTCATCGTAACGTTCATCATTAAAATGAACATTTAATGTCACTGACTCTAACTCTTCAGATTCTGAAACATGATCCTGCTCGGAATCGTGGTCTTCCTCGACTAACATTTCATCTTCCCCATCAGATAAATCATCGACGTTTTCTAAATGAGAAATGTATATAAGATATACTGTAGTAGTAATAAAACATTTGATCGAAACAAAATATTTTTAAAAATCTAACCAGCATCTTCATCGGGAATCCAAGCTGCTTGATATACTGACGTTCCTTTCGGTACAACTTTATATAATTTGCTCTTTTGAGCATCTTCCGCTTCTTTTAATTCGTCTTCTGTAGGCCAAGTTTGTTCTGCATCCATTGGATCTATGACATTTTCTGCTTGAAGAGATTCCTAGAAGGATAATTTTAATATTTTTACATCCTTATATAAAAAAATAGATAAACAAATTAGGTCACTTGATAATTTGAGTAATGAACATTATGACAAATAAAATTTCGATAAATGAAATTTCTTAAATATGACATTTCGAAGATTTGAAGGTTATGTTACATGAGAATTCAAGTAAATGCGCTTTATGTCACTTGATATTTCGAGTAAATGAACATTATGACAAATAAAATTCCGATAAATGAAAGTTATGTAATATAATATTTCGAAGGTTTGAAAATTATGTCCCATGGCACCGTTTTACGTTGTGTTTTGTAACTGGGCCATAAGTGTGAGAGATATTGAGATATATGTTGGTTATATTTGCACTCATGGTCTAATTACAAAACGCAACGTAAAACCAAGTTGTAAAGGTATTTCTGCAGTAGCTTTAAAATACATTTCTTTTTTTTAATTTAAAGTAACTGCACATTCTGCTTATAAATTCACTTGAAATCATCAATTAATACACTCAGGTACTTTAATGCTGTTCTTCCGATTTGACGGTCTTTTGTAAGGTCGTATGGTTTCTGTCAAAATGTGTTCAGTTCATGACATATGAATGAACATTCGTATGTCACGAACTAAGAATATTTGATAGAAGTGAGACGACTTTTCAAAATTCCATCAAACCAGCAGGACAGCATTAAAGCATTTGAGTGTACAAAGCAAATTATCGTAAATTTAAATGCAGAATGTTCAGTTGCTTTAAATTAGAAAAAACAAATGTATTTTAAAGCTACTGCAGAAACACCTTTATATTTTGGTGTGAAGGCAATTTACGCCTTTACGCACCTACCCAACCCTGAGTTAGCTGCTGAAGCCGTACATTTAGACCCTCCTCCAAAGTCGGACTACGCCATCTTCGCTCATTAACGGTTCGACGTCGGTGAAGTGAAATCGTAAAAAAATGTTTAAAAAAACGCGACCTCGAAATGAGACAACGACGACGATAGCAGTGAAAAAGTGATTAACAAAATTAACAAGTTCCTTCAGCCTGAAATTTCTTCTGGTCCTGCTGTAATTAGACATATTCCTAGACGTCAGGAAATTTGGCAGGCTTTAAGTGACGCTTCGGCTGCAGTGGAAAAAATCCTGACGCATCTAAAAATTCAAAAGACACTCGATACTCAACTTGACGAAGAATAACTTAAAAAAACGAAACAACGCTCAAAGTCCAAAGTATCCTAGCGTCCATGTCGACTGGAAAAGATAGGTATTTGTCTCCTATCCGTGAACCAGTGTTAAACGACGACACGATCGAGAAACATGCATCTCCTAAAGACGAAGCATCAAACAATTAGTCATCAGAATGAGAACGACTATACGAAGAGCTCGACCAACAATTGTCAAATCATACTCGATGATTCATTGAAGAATATGAACCACGAGAAGTCACGCCACCACAAGAAGTATCACAGCCATCAGAAAAAGTCACGCAACCATAATGGCTAGATAAGTTGCAGTTTTTGTAAACTACAAGCTGGAAAACTTTTGTGTAATTATCATTAGAATTTTACACTTCCGTAAGGAGTATTTTTAAAACAGTGTCGTAATATTAATGTATTCTAAAAATATATTTAAATAATAATAATAAATAATAAATAATAATAATAATAATAATAATAATAAAAATAAATAAATAAATATATAAATAAATATAAAAAAATAAATATATAAATTAAATTAAAAATAATATATATAATAATATATATTATTATAAATTTAAATTTATAAATATATAAATAAATAGGGGAGACTGGGGTAAACCCGCTCACAGGGTAAACCCGCTCACTAGCGATTTTACGCTATGAACTTAACTTAAGATGGAGATATTGGTACTATGAATAGTACTTAACATTCAACTTATATTAACGAACTTTCGTTTAGTTTTATGAATTCGACACAGAATCAGAGACGATCAAATGTTTTTAGAGGTGTCAGAAAAAAAAAGTATTTTGGATTTTTAAGTTTTTCGATCATTATTTTTGAGTCTTAATTTATCTGGGAAATTTTTTTTGTTGCTATTGGATGTCCTTCATCGAAGTACATATATAGTTTTGTCTTATTTTAAAAAGATTTAATTAAATTTATTCTGAAATGTAAGGAATACACTCGGGGTAAAGTCGCTCACGTGAAGTCGGGGTAAAGCCGCTCACTTAGTTTTAAATTTAAAATTTAGAATAAAATAATTTCACGTATTATATTTTAACAATAACACAATTTATGACTTATTAAAACCAAAATTGTAAATACATTTCACTTTCTCTTAATAAAATATAACACTATTTAAATCCATAGTTGTAATTCATGAAATCTATGTTCATTATTAATTAAACCAATTTTTTGTTTATAGAATTGTTTATATAACTCATAAATTATCAATAATAAATCATACTTAAGACGGGAATAAGACGAACTTTAATATTTAAAAAATAAAACTTTTCCGTCTTGAAAAGATAAAGTGAGCGGGTTTACCCTGGAAAATTGTGATTTCGAAATTTGGTATATGTTTATTAAAAAGTTTCTCTAAGTAAAACTAAAAAAGATAAATCAAAAACTCTTTTTTATTTTTTTAGTAGAAATCATAAGCTTTCAAATGATATAAATTAACTTGGATTTAGAGAATAATTTCCTAGATTTTAGCCGATCTGAAAAAAAGTGAGCGGGTTTACCCCAGTCTCCCCTATATAAATAATAATAATTATAATAATAATAATAATAATAATAATAATAATAAATAATAATAACCGCGGGTTAATATTAAAAAAATTTATTTCCAAATATTGTGTTCTTATTTTTATACAAATTGAAAGAGTTTTCACCCTCCCTATATCTGGCTGACACTTTCTGGACTACCAGAAATACCAGTGAAAAGAAAGATCGATTGACTTCGCTGGTTATTGTATCGACACCAGAAGTGCGGATTCTCTCTCTTTATAAATAGTTTTACTTATTCCTAAATTAAAAATATATTCATTATCGTTAAATGCTAAAGTTTGAGTTAATTAGAGTCGAGTCAGTGCCTTTTCTCTATCCTTACTTCGACAAATCCAGGACCCTAAAATATTTACAAAATAAAAGTTTGCGCGGTAAATTGTGAGCGGGTTTACAATGTAGATTACGACGGCGGGGGTTCGTGTAGAATTTCTACCTGGCGCTTGAGAGACTCTGCTAAACGGATCACACTTGGCCGTATGCAAGTTTGAAGTGTGAAACTTGTGTATACGATTTCAGAAAGGTACCACTGTCACCATTTTTGCAGCGCTTTTCTTGGTGGAATTTTCCACTTACCTCGTGTCAAGAAAACGCGTTACAATCCATAATTCAGCATTTAGCTATAATCAAGCTTTGAGCCATAATGAAGCCTTGATCCATAACCATGCTTTTAGCTGTGAACAAGCCTTGACCCATAATGAAACCTTGATCTAACAGAATATTGTTTACAATTAAATAATCGTTAACTCAGGGTTACGAGCCATGATCAAGCGTTGATTCATAAGCAAGTTTCGAGCCATAATCGACTTTCGAGGCATAATCTAGCCTTGATCTACAAATAAGTTTTGAGCCATAATCCAGCCTAGCGCCATGTTCAAGCTTTGATCTGTAACGAGTTTCAAGCCATAATCCAGACAAGAGCCATTATCAAGCGTTGATCCATAAGCGAGTTTTCAGCCATAATATAAGCCTTTAAAGAGTGAAGCCAGAATGGGCAAAAAAGGAACTGGAAACGGAAGCCCGGCACTGACAAAATAAGAGATTGAGAGAGATGCGAGTAGGTTATGATAAGAATAGGTTAAGTTGCGATAAGTTAAGTTGGAAATGTATAATTTTATTTTTATTTTATTATTTTTTTATTTTTAATATTATAAGTTGCTGTATGCACTTTGGAGTCTCGAAATTACCCGGTCGGGTTTCGGGCTTTTTGCACACCTCTAGTAATTATAAAGAAGAATGATTAGAAGTAAAGAAAATTATGAGTAATGTTAATTCGAAAAAGTTAAAATTATTTTAAAAAACATTTATAAGAAAAAACTTTTATAACAAATGATATTTCGAAAAAATAAAATTTAGAAACTTTAAAATATACAACATTTACACATTATAAAAACTATTATTAGGAACAATAAATTTTTTAAGAATTGGTAATTCGGTAATATTTGAATTATTTTGAATAATAATTCGGGAATATAATTATTACAACTATTAACAAATCCATAAAATAACATTTATCAAAATTTACATTTCGAAAATGAAAATATTAGTGTAAATAAGAAATATAAAAAATAATAATTTTTAGAAATGATAACTCGGTTATTTGAAGATTATAAAAAATTTTCTTTTGCAGTATTAAACATTCTGTTGATTAGTCATTCAAAAAAATAATGTTTTTGACAATTATTCTTTCGATTAAAAGAAATTATAATTAATTCATATTAGATAAAAAGATTTTCGATAATATGAAGATTCGGAAAATAAAAATTAGAGACTTTTCATGCGCCTCTTCTCTCTCTTCTCTCGACGTCGTCTTAGATTCCTAACCTCTAGAAACTAAGTAAATAAACAATTCTATTTCGAACATAAAACATAAATCACAAAATTAGAGAAATTACACTAATGAAAATAATAGCAAAATAACCCTATTAATTTCAGTTGGTTCCTGGTGGTCTTGTGCAATTTTAAACTCTACTTTCTTTTACTATTCAAGCTTCGGTGAACTCTCGGGAAAACATCTCAAACGCGGACTTTTTATAATCCACGTTACAACTCACAGTGGGCAAAAATGCTCTTTTTTGTGTCAAAATCAAAGAACTTTTGATAGAAGTGATCAATTTTAATAAATCGAACGGGAAACAAAAGAATAATTCCTACAGAATACAGGAAAAATATGGAAAAAGTGAAAAAAAAATTCCTAACCTATTAAATATTCCGATAAAGTTAAGTTTTTCTATGAAAAATATCAT